TGTTATGAGAAACAGATCTCATTACGTGTAACCTATCCTTGAGGGGTGAGAACAGTAAACAGTATGTAAGGAAGTATATAGTAGTTCAAGCAAGAGAGGTTGGGATCGGTTTTAGTTTGAACTTTGTGGGTATCTAACCCTAGTAAAGACGAGCAAGATGCTACTGAATAAGAAAGAAAAGTGTTTGTGAAACGCTCTCAGTTTTCATGAGAGAAAACATAGAAGTTCAAGTATGGAGACCAAAGAAGTGGTAAGAACGATAAGAATAAGAGAAGTAACAAAGAATCTTTGAGTTAGTGAATTCTAACAGTTAGAATAAGTTGAGCGCCTTAGTTGCTTCGGTGCTTGTTTGGAACTCAGAGATTCCATTTCTTCTTAGTATTCCCAGAGAAACTTCTAAGCCAATTCTTGAGATTTTTACCATCTTTTCGAAAGCTTCCGTTTTGAGAAAATCGATCTGTTCCTTCTAAGTTTCGGGACGAAACTTCTTTTAAGGGGGAGAGAGTGTAACAACCCAAAATTTCATTTTATAAATCCGGATTTAAGAAAATCAAAATAGCCAATTTTCACTCCATAAAATTTTTTTTACAAAGAAAGCGGTGTTGAATAAAATATTTTGATCCATTTTAAATTTAATTCGACACCAAGAATGGATTTAATTCCAATATCCTAAATTTTCGGGTACTTCGCGTACCAAGATTTAAATCGAGAAATTTATCTAAGTGAGACCGGGAGATTCAAAAAGGTTTTAAACAAGGGTTCATCTAAATAGCTTTTTGAGAAAATTCATTTTCAACCTCAAAGTATTTTGAAATAGCAATTCTAGCCCTTGGTTCATGGAGTATGGTGGACCACTAGACATCACTTAGCCAAAAAAATTACTCTTTTGCCCTCAACCAATCATTGGCAATTATCCTAGGGTTTTGGACCCTATAAAATATCTCTTTAGCTACATTGTCTTCTCCTGATCTCTTCTTTGCCTTCCCAAATTCTTGTCTGCCAAGTAGAAGGAAAATAACACAGTAAGCTTTCATCTCATCCCTTCACCTCTTTTCCTTAAGGTTTCCATCCTAGCTTTCAATCTCTGAGTTTTGTTAGGCTTGGCTTGTGTTGTTGTTTGAGGTATCTAGGTGGTGAATGGAATGGTATTTGAGTAGAGTGGAGGCTGAGATCCACACAAGGAAGAAGAATAAGAAGCAGAGAACTACAAGAGGTATAACCCCATGGATTCCTTCTTGAAATTTGGCTCTTTGAAGCCTTAATATTGAGTAGAAATGAGTAGAAACTATGAGATTTTGTTGTGTTTATGCTTAGAAGTGATCTAGTATTTGTTTGTGAGTTGTTGAGATTGTTTTGGACTTGTTTGGTTTGAGTTTTGCAGATGAAATTGCCATCTGGTACACACACAGGGTGCACCAGATTCAGACCTGCGGCCCTAGCCGCGGCCCATCAGGAGGGCCGCCGGCTAGGACCGTAGCTACACGGGACTAGGGCGCGGCCCTAGAGGAAGGCCGCTGCCTAGTCCCGTTGGAGTAACGGGGCTCATGGGGCGGCTCTTGAGGAGTCCCGCCCCAGGTCCCTGAGTTTGATTCTGAGGAAAATTTGTGCAGTGGCTGGGCCCTTGTGGCTAAGCTACGTGTTGTTTCAGGCCGAGTGTTACGGGCCCTTGTGGCTCGGCTCTTCGAGATCGTCTCGACGCACGTTTTGGCTTTGATTTCGTTGAATTTGGATTAAAAACGAGTAAGATGTGAAGGATTTGTTGAAGAATTTCCACACAGTGCATATTTGCTTAGTTCTCTGTACATGAAGAATGCTTGGTTTTGTAAATCTGATATTATTTTATTGAGTAGAGAAGCATAATCATTTGAGAGTATGATTTATTATGCAAGCATGATCTTTTGAGAATATGTATTATTATGAAAACATGACTAGATTGAGATATTTGATCAAAGAGAAGTGAAGCATATTTTGTTGATAGAATATATAGAATTTGCTATGTTGCAAACCGAGCATGATATTTTATTCTTAATTACTTCATGATATTTTATACATGATTTAGAAGCATGTTATAGAGAATTTTGGCATTTCACATGTGTCGTATTTCAAAAATGCATAAAGGGCAACGTGAGCCCAAGAATACTTTCAAAAACCATAAGCATGTAGTATATCATTCTTTGATGGCATGTGGTATATCATTCTTTGATGCCATTATCCTCTTTTAATCATAAACATGCCATTATCCTTTTGTGTTCTGTCAATGTTTATGTTGTCAACATAGATGGATATGATACACAAACCATAGGATGATTTCTTAATGAAGATACAATGACTAATATGATTATTCACATATCCTTGTTTTAAGAGAAATTCACTCAGATGGCAAAACCACATTCCTTTTTATTGTTTTAAGCCATATAAAAAAATTATCAATTATCAATTAGTTATAATCTCTAACCCAAACAGTAAACACCTATCAGCTAACCGTTATTTACCAAATAACTAAGACTAAGAAAAGTGAGCAAACAACTAAGAATCCAGGTGATAATGTTGAAGTAGGGAGTGATTGTTTTTACTATGATTCTTTTGATACACCAACTTATGATCAGAAGAAGATCATGAAGTCTAGAATGTGAATTACAAAAAAAAAAAAAAAACAAAAAAAAAAAAAACAAAAAAAACAAAAAAAACAAAAAAAAAAACAAAACAAAACAAAAAAAAAAACAAAAAAAAAAAAAAAAAACAAAAAAAACTGCCTTTATATAATCCAAAATGTGACTTTCCTAAGCTTGAAAAGAGAATGTTGTTTGTGAATTACAATAAGTGCTATATGATGTTGAGCATAGGAACTCTGAAAGACATGTTCACGGAAATTGAACTAACAAGTGTAGAGGCAAAGATGATGTGGTCTAATGGTACTTGGGTTGGACTTCCATTTGGAAGGTTACGAGTTAAGTCTCAGTGGAGATACTACAATGTAATAGGGCCAGTAACATTTACAAAGTTTCTATATGAAAATTTATTTTATTTTTTAGTGTGTAACTCATTTGCTCAATCACAATATTTATATGGACAATTTATATCGTGCACCACGGCGCACATAGTAATGTGCGCCCAGGTACAAAATGCGCGCGTTTCATGCTGACGTTACTCAGTCCGTCCGAACAGACCAAACCTCATTATGTGTATTCAGGTAAAATTTCATGTGTATTGTGTTATGAGTTTATGTGTATTATGTTAACCAAACTCCATTATGCGTGTCAGTTAAAAGTTTATGTGTATTGTGTTATGAGTTTATGTGTATTCAGTTAAGAGTTTATGTATATTATGTTAACCAAATCCCATTATGTGTATTCAGTTAAAAGTTTGTGTATTATGTATTATGTTAGATTATGTGTATTCTGTTATGAGTTTATGTGCATTCTAAACAGAAATTTTTTTTAACAACTTAACAAAATGACATCATTTTGTGAGACGCGAAGCGCACAGTGCTATGTACGTCGTGGTGCACAGTATAACGATTGATTTATATGAGACGTGGTCAAATTAACATTAACATAGCAATAAAATCTTATTTAAAATCTGTTGGTAACCTCCCCACCCCCACCTCATATAGACAATTAAATCTGAAAATAATAGCTGATGAGGTTACAATTGACGCCGGCAGGGCCTTTGCACGGGGCCCCCCAAATTTGGGGGCCCCTCAATTTTAAAAAATATATATAGTATATATAAGGCATAGCGACTCAGCGTTCGAAGACTTCGAAGTTCGAACAAAGCCGTCAAGCCTATTAAATATTGCCCTAATCTAGCAACTAGCGTACGACAAATACAGTAACAGATCAGAAGAGACTGAAGAGAAACTATAGAGTACAATTTACAAGAAATTTCCTACTATCTAAGTGTCTAGGTTCCGTATTTGATTTCTCAAAAAAAAAAAAAAAAAAGTATTTGATATTTGAAGTTACTTTTTGTGAATTTTACTATTCTAGGTATTTGAACTAATTCAAACATTCTAATACGGAGTATTTAATTTGATTGTTTATGTATTTAAATTAGATTAGGTAATTCAATTTTGGAAATTTTCAATTGTATTCTTTACATGTTTGCAGGCAGCCGTGAGCAGCACACAAAGACAACAGATTCAACTCGTGTGCTATTGATTCTTCAATTCTTTTCTATCATACAAACTCTCAAATTTTTCAATTTCCTTGACAGGTAATTAAATTACGTATTGTTTCACAATTCTTTTTTATTGTTTTATTTACATGACTTAATAATTTCGATTTCAGAATAATATATTCAAGAATTCGTTTCTTGATTAATTATTTATTCATAGAGTTTCTAAAGAAATTTTTATTTTTTCCTTAAGATTTTATGTCTTTTAGAAAATATTCATCTGGGTTTGAGAAGCATAAAACGAAAAGAAGAATTGAACAACTAACTCAATCTCAAAAGGGAGCTCTTGAAAAATTCATTAAAAAAAAAACTCAAATAGATGAGGAAAAAGATAATGCTTAAAAAAATTGTTAGATGCTAATCTTCATATATAAAAATTACTTTAAAAAGGGTCTAAATTAAAATTTTTCAAAGACCTCAATTTTGATTGGAACGGCCAGATTAGAAAGATAATTCATTCAATTCAAACAGAAAACAATTACACGTGAGTATATCTAATCTCACCACTAAACACTCTTGACTAATAGACTAGAAATAGAAGACTAATTCTAGGACCACAGAAATACAAACTATGTTACATATAATTAAATAATAATAATAACAGTAACACTAATACACCCCCTCAAGCACAAGATTGATGATCAACAATATTGAGCTTGTCTCGTAGAGCTGTAAACCGGGGTCCAGGTAGTGGTTTAGTGAGTACATCGGCTAGCTGATCCTTGGTGGAGACGAAGTTGACCACGAAGTCACCGGAGGCTACCTTGTCACGAATAAAGTGGTAATCTATCTCAACATGCTTTGTCCGCGCGTGAAACACAGGGTTAGCGCATATATAAGTAAGTAGCGCCGAGGTTGTCACACCATAAGTTGGAGGGACGCCCAGTGTGCAACCCAAGTTCCCGCAACAGAGAGACCATCCAGGTGACTTCAGCTGCAACATCAGCTAGGGCTTTATATTCCGCCTCAGTGGAGGAGCGAGCAACAGTGCGTTGCTTCCGAGAGAGCCAGGAAAAAAAATTACTCCCGAGAAAGACGGCATAGCCACTGGTGCTTTTCCTGTCAACCGGACACCCAGCCCAGTCAGAGTCGGAGTAGGCGTGGATGTCGCTTGAAGCGGAAGGAGAGAGTCGAAGACCGTAGTTAAGAGTGCCCTTGATATACCGTAACACACGTTTCACCATTACCCAGTGGTCGTCAGTAGGGGAGTGCATGAACTGACATAGGCGGTTGACAGCATACGCGAGATCTGGCCGAGTGATAGTCAGGTACTGCAGTGCCCCAACAATGCGCTGATATTGCGTAGGATTCTCAAAAGGTTGATCAGACGGAGTGACAGCTTGAGTAACAGACGCTGGGGTAGTAAGGGATTTGCAGTCCGTCATCCCAGACCGATGAAGTAAGTCCACCATGTACCTATGCTGTGACAAAATCATCCCACCATTAGCCGATACTGTCTCGATGCCCAAGAAGAACCCCGGAGTGCCAAGATCTCTAATCTTGAATGCTGACGCAAGGCGATGTAGTAAGGACTCAACAAGGGTGGCGTCACTGCCCATCATGATGATGTCATCCACATAGACGAGTAGAAACACTTTAGAGACACCCGCCGAGTGGTAAAATAATGAGACATCAGTCTTGGACGAAGAAAAACCTGCAGTCAGTAAAAAAATCATGAAGTCTTTTGAACCAGGCCCTTGGAGCTTGTTTAAGCCCATATAGAGACCGCTGCAAAAGACAGACATGATCAGGGTGTGTTGGATCTTCATATCCTGGTGGTTGTTTCATGTATACTGTCTCGGCTAAATGGCCATTCAGGAAGGCGTTGTGGACATCCAGCTGACGGAGAGTCCACTTGTTCGAGACAGCTAAAGAAAACAGGATGCGGACAGTCGTGGGCTTGACGACTGGACTGAACGTGTCAAAAAACTCCTCCCCTGTTACTTGATTGAAACCTTTGGCTACCAAACGAGCTTTATAGCGGTCAATCGAGCCATCGGCAGTCCGTTTTGTACGAAAGACCCATTTGCACCCAATAATGTTCATGGTTGGGTCTGGGGGAACTAATCGCCACGTGTTGTTGTGAAGAAGAGCGTTGAACTCTTGATCCATTGCGTCACGCCACTATGGATGGCCTAAAGCTTGGGAGTAGCACGTTGGATCAGTTGACGCTGTTAAAGCCTGAAACTCTTCATTAGTACCCCGAGTCATACGCCGAAGGTGCATAGCCAGAGGTTGAACAGTGGTTCGTTTCCGGGCCCGTCTAGGTGCACTTGGCTCAATGGCCAACAAAGGTGCTTCTTGGGCCAACGGGACTGGTTCAGGGTCCGGAGTTGGCACAAGTTGGCAAGATTGCACCGGTGATACGGGAGCTGACGCCCAAGGTAGAGATGCAGGTGTAGATTCCTGAGCCTGCACAGAGCCTGTTGGAAAGGGAAACACATTCTCGTCAAACCGCACATGGCGATAGATATAGGTTTTCCCACTGATTGGATCCATGCATCTGTATCCCCTATAGGACAGTGGGTAACCTAGGAAGACACATGGGGTGGAACGATACTCCATCTTGTGCCGATTATAAGGCCGTAGATGGGGGTAACATTGACACCTGAAGACATGAAGGAATTGGTACGGTGGTGATTTTTTGTAAAGGCGATAATATGGACTTTCAAACTTTAAGACCGAGGTGGGAAGGTAGTTAATTAAACAGGTGGCAGTTTCAAAAGCATAGTCCCAATATTCTTGTGGGACGGAGCCTTGAGCAAGAAGAGCTAAACCCGTTTCGACAATGTGTCTGTTACGGCGCTCAACTCTTCCGTTTTGTTCATGCGTATACGCACAAGACTGCCGGTGTTCAATTCCCAAGGATTGGAAGGTTGTGTGTAATTTTCTGTATTCACCCCCTAAATCTGATTGGATTGACTTGATAGAGCGCGAAAACTGCTGCTCTACCAACAAACGAAACGAGTCAAATATTTTATAGATATCTGATTTTACCCGTAATGGATAAAACCAGGTAAACCATGTGAAGTCATCAACAAATAGCAGAAAATAACGATATCCACTAGTTGACACTACAGGAGCGGGGCCCTAGATATCGGTAAATAATAGATCTAATACATTTTGACTATTATTCTCAACCCTATCTAACTTGAAACGGGAAGACTTGCCGAGATGGCAAGCCGTGCACGACCCCAACTCTTTGGAATTATTTGCTTGAATGGAGCAACTTTGAAGAATTTTGTTTTGGACCACACTATGCGGGTGACCAAGCCTTCGATGCCACACAGCCGGCGTAGCACGGGAACTCATAAACGCAAAGTGGGAACGAGACACGGGTAACTTGTATAGACCGCCCGCGGTTGGACCTTTAAGAAGTGTGACCTTGGTTTTGGAATCCTTCACAAAAAAACAATGACCATGAAATTCAAAATATACATGATTATCATTAGCAAATTTTTGGACAGAAAGCAATGGGACAGTTAAATTAGGGACGTGCAACACATTTGACATGAGTAAGTGTTTTGACACGGATGGAATAGACGCATGACCAATCCGCGAGATAGCCAAACCTGTACCGTTTCCAACCCGGAGCGTGTCCGGGCCAACATATTCCTCCGTATTACTCAGCATGCCGGCGTCCGGTGTAGCGTGAGCGGTGGCTCCGGTGTCTGGATACCACGAATCTGCCGGAGCGGTGATGGTGCCGGCCGGATCATCCGAGACAGCAACATTGGCCTGCGCCGGTGGTGGTGCGGTATACCTCTTGTAGCAGTAGAGGGCTGTGTGTCGTGGGAGCGACATATTTGGCACCGGGGTCGTCCTCTACCGCCGCGACCATTTCTGCCGGAGCTATTACCCCGGCCACCTCGACCGCCTCTGCCGGAAGTATTGTTGCCGCGACCACCATCTGCATGTGACGAACCTGCTGCACGTCCCCGGCCTGCGTACATCGCCGAGTGAGGACCACCATCTGCAGAGCCGAAGTCGTCCGCCAGAAAGAAGTCCGCCGCCTGCAGATGATCCGCCATCTGCGGTAATGTCAGCGGTGTGGTTGCCGTGAGCGACGCCGCATAGCTCCGATATTTCGGACGGAGGCCTCACAGAACATATAAGTTCTGTTCACCAAGTGACAGTGGTTGACCGGCCTGCGCAAGAGCCTCGACAAGAAGCTCCGCACGCCCGAGAAATTCCGTCGGGGAAGAGTTGCCTTGCCGCATAGTCTGAAACTGATTGAGAAGACTGAGACACCGAGCTTGGGTGTTCGAACCAAGAGCCGAACAGATGGAGCGCCAGACCTCCGCAGCGGTGTTCCGGCCTACAGCGAGATGGAGGACTTCATCAGACATTGCCGAGATGAGGAGGGAAAGGATCGATTGATCCTGTTGAACCCATATTTTGTACGCCGGATTGGGAACCGGATCAGCGGAGAAAGCATCGGAGCCCGACTCTCCGGATGGCGTGGCAGCGACAGTCGGCGGCGGGCACGGGGTGGAGCCATTTACGTACCCGAGGAGATCCTGGCCGCGAAGGAACGGGAGAAGCTGTGTTCTCCAGAAAAGGAAGTTTCTGCTCGTCAACTTCATTGAGATGAAGTGGTGTGCGCCATTAAGGGGGTTGTTTCCGGATGAGGGTGGTGCACCGCCGGCGGAGGAGGGCCTATCGGATGATCGGTCAGACATTGTCGTCGGAAAACAAATGGAAATGGGAAAAGGGGTTTGTTTGCGAAAGGCAAGCGATCAGTAAGATCGATTAGGCTGATACCAGATTAGAAAGATAATTCATTCAATTCAAACAGAAAACAATTACACGTGAGCATATCTAATCTCACCACTAAACACTCCTGACTAATAAACTAGAAATAGAAGACTAATTCTAGGACCACAGAAATACAAACTATGTTACATATAATTAAATAATAATAATAACAGTAACACTAATAGGCCAATCCTAAAAGATTAAATCCTAATGAGAAATTAATTACCTTAGTTATTTCAGCAAAAGATATTATACACCGGTAGAGCTACACCATAAGGCAAGACAGACCACTACAAACCGTGCTATAGCTACCACCATCAAACAAAGGGTCTACCATGCCAAGCAAACCTTGCGTTGTCGTGTCCATCAAAACACAAGGTCTGCATGGTACAGCAGTGACCATGCATGAACCAGCAAACCCAAAGTCTGCTTGTACGCGATAAGAAGGCTTAATGTATTTACTATATAGACTAGTCCATCCTAGTTTGTAGGATTAGAATAAATCCACTAACTATTCCTAGAGTTTGGTGGTTTTAGTTGTATGCATGGTTATATAAGCCTTCTGTAACTTTTGATCAAGTGCACTCTCATTCTAACCTTACATGGTATCTAGAGCCAGACTTTAGCGAAATAATTTTATTTTTTTATTTTTTCGTGTAGCCCTTTCAGCTATCATGGCTTCTTCCTCAGACACCCATATCATTCAAATCAATGCTCCTACTAATTTACTCATCAAATTAACATTTTCCAACTTCCAAGTCTGGAGGAGGCAAGTTCAGGCTTCTCTCCTTGGCTTGGGTTTGCTTGGGTATATTGATGGCACAACCCAGGCTCCACCACAGTTCTCTGATGCTGCTCGAATAAGGAAATCAACGCAGCTTACACCACATGGTTTAGACAAGATCAAACCATCCTAAATGCTATTTTAGGGAGTTGCTTCGACACAAATCCAGCCGTTGATCTCATCGGCGCTATCCTCAGCAACTGCATGGGATCGGTTAACAACCACCTATGCCAGTTCATCACCATCTTGTATTGTGTCTCTCAAAACTAAATTTAGAAAAAGAAGTTCAAAATTTTGGAAAAAACATAGCTCAGACGGGCTATCAATTTTTTGATGATATTCTGCTACTAACAGGTTCGAATTTATTTATACAAAATAAATAAAAACGAAAAAGAGGATTTTATAAATTAGAATATATATCCAACGATCAAGAAAATGAGGAAGAACGAGGAGAAATTCGAGTCGTGTCTACTCACATTCTCCTTAAAATTGATTCGCTATTTCTCGAGGGTGCTACGAGCTTTGTAGCGTCAGTCTCCCAAGATAAAACGGATTACGGATTAACGTTTGAGCACTCAAATGAATAAGCCCATCGAACTAGAATAACAACAACAAGGGAGCAATTCGTTCCTTTAACAGAAGAGTTGGCAGAATTTTTCTTTCAAGTAAAGGAGAGAAGGGAGGAGAGAAAAAAAAAGTTTTTTTTTTCTTTCAAGAAAACGAGAGAAGGGAATGATAGGAGAAGGAAGAATAAATAGCATTAACACTTGTCTGAAAACTAGTTCCACTGTTTGAGCTCAGTCGGAGTACCTCTATGCTATACAATTCAACTTATCTCTAAAAGGGTCTTGTATATATAGTGGTGCAAATCCACTTCCCGCACTAATGTGTGACAAAGGCTACTTACAAGCCCTTCCAACTCATTTTTTCAAATCAAATGGGTTTACTTTGAGAATCACGTTCAAATTCACCTATTATTTGTTTTTAACGTACAATATATCAATTTCTTCGTCTCATTATGAAGAACCCAAATCCTCTTTGACACGACCCAACTTGGAAGTGGACACACATATATTTGTACCACAAAATAGGCACTTACATGACATTTAATTTTATGCTAAAAATTCCAATAGGGTGCACACAAGTCAAGCCTTATCAAGCTCAATTTTTTATTTGTTTTACACCCTCCTGCGCACGAGAGAGAACCACTATGCTATACAATTAAAACTCCCATAGGAAGGGAATTGTATGTATACTAATGCAAACACATCTTCATTTTTCAATATGGGACAAAGGCTACTTCAAAACCTTCCTAACTCAAAATGGGTATAATTTGATAATCAATTTTTATTTACCCAATATTTGTTTTGAGTATATAATATATCAAATTAAACTTCTAAGATAGAATTTTCACAGTAAATCCCAATATAAGTATAGGGCAGACAAACCATGGGGATATTCTTCTCATTGATTAGTACGGAGTACTACATTAACGCATAATTGTGCACCCTCTTCCCCCAAGCTCAAAATCCTAATACCACATTGCTCTATAAATTAAAACTATTCCATA